AACATCAGCCCTTACAAGAAGTCTGAAAGATAGAGAAATTGTGTTTAATTTCACTGTGGAGGAAAGTGAGTCTTCTATAGATTGCAACTTGCCCAGGGAATGGAGGAAGTGGGTAGCACAGTCAGGATGGGAGGCCAGGTCATCTAGTACTCACGTTGGCACATTTGCCACTGAACAATATGATGGTCTACTACATTTGGGCATCTTGATGTTGAAATCAATCAACTCTCCACTTATTGCCGCTCACCATACCATAGAACGTTTTCAAGTTGACAAAAAACATTTCTCCTAAACTTTAAGGTATTTAAATACACATCTGAAATTATACTCTGTTCAGGAGAGGTTATTTTGCAAAATCGATTTCCCTGCTATTTAAAACAGCAAAGCAGAGGAGGGAATGTTTTGCGTTGTGACTAAAGAATAAATACAAGCAAACTATCAAGATACAATTCTTGTATCTTGTCCTCACTCAGTGAAACCTAGCCCTCTGTTGAGTTCATGAAACTGACTTTGATATGTAGAAATATAGCATATGTAGATATGTAGAAATATAGTGCTACCAGTCTTAGCACTAAAACTGGTAGGCAAATTTTTTATCCTTATAATGAATTGCTGCTTGCTCTGAGTAAGCATCATTGCAAAATTGAAGAACATTATTATGTATTCTTTGGCAAACTCTACAGAGTTTATACTAGTCTTCTATCAATAAGGGATAAGAATGTTTTCTAAATGATTCTACACTTGATAAGCTGTGAGAATGAATTACATTTTGAGGGTCTTCCTCTTCTGGTATTATTAACCTTGTTCCTTTACTGTGTTGTATTGACATTCCTTTCTAGGCAATAATATGTCACTACTAACACAGAATTGTGGAGTTCCCACAAATCACTTCTAAAGTTCTTGGGACCTGCTTATGAATGAGGGTGGTGGTGATGAGGGGCATAGAAGAGTAAGAAAATGGAGTGGTAGCCCATTATTTTTGATTCACTGTGCTTCCTGCATTTCTCATCATAATCACTACAACTTAAGAAACAAAAAAGTATTCAAGTAGCATATAATTCACTTATAAAATCTGATTCAGAATAATTTATGTGAGATTACACTTGCTATTAATATATAATTCTGTTATGTGAGATGGAGAGAGTTTATCTTTCTTTTTTCCTGATTTCAACAATGATTCTAAAATAATTTGTTTCTGTATTACTCTCTGCCTTTGGTTAGGAACAAAATAAGAATTTGGATTCATGAGTTGGGCTTGGTAACTCCTAACTACTGAGGAGGCTGAGGTGGAAGGATTGCTTGAGCCTAGGAGTTGGAGACCAACTTGGACAACACACACACACACACACACACACACACACAAACATACACACACAGAATTTGGATTCATATTAAAATAAGTTTTTTTTTTGTTGTTGTTGTTGTTTTTGAGTTGGAGTCTCACTCTGTCGCCCAGACTGGAGTGCAGTGGCTGCTCCCGGCCACTGCAGCCTCGACCTGCTGGGCTCCGGCGATCCTTCCGCCTCAGCCTTCCGAGTTGCCGGAATTACAGGCGCGCGCTACCACGCCCGGCTGATTCTTTTGATTTATTGTAGAGACGAGGTCTCGCTGCCCAGGCGGGTCTCGAACCCGCGGGCTC